GCCTGGTATTGGAGGTAATATACTAGAATATATCGTGAATTTAGTTGACAAGCAGAAAGCAGAGATTAGGATTAAATGGCCTTCACAGTTGGCAACCTATGACAAGAGGGGTGCAGAGCAATCAGTTCTTGCACTCCAGCTGTTCACAATCTATATCAGTGATTTGGATTTGGGGACCGGTACAATTTTTCAAGTTTGCAGATGACGCATAACTTTCTGTGAATGTGATTTTGCCGGGAGGATGCAAAAAAGCTTTAAGGGAATTTAGAGAGGCTGAGTAAATGGACATGGGCACAGCAGATTATGTGGACAAACGTGAGGTTATCCACTTTGGTACGAGGAATGAAGATACAGAGTTTTTTAAATGGTATGAGAACTGAAGGTGTTCATGTCCACAGGGACCTAGGTGTTCTTGCCCATAAGTCAGTGAAAGCTAGAATGCATGTTCAGCAAGCAATTCAAAAAGGCAAGTAGTATGTTAGCCCTTACCATAAGAAAATTTGCATATAGGAGCAAAGAGGTCTTCAACTGTATACAACACTGGTGATACTAAACCTAGACCATTGCCTAAGGAAGAATAGGCTTGCCAAAGAGGGAGTACAAGCGGAGGTTCATCAGACAGAGAGGAGATTGAATTTCTTTACTTAAGAGTGTGGAAAATCTTTGGAATTCTCTACCCCAGTGAACTGTGGAAGCTCTGTCATTAAGTAACTGACTGATCGAATTCTAGTTATTACTGATATCAAAGAATTGGGCATTCCATAGGAATGTGGCAAAGATGTGGATGATCAGCCATGATCTAGAATGGTAGAGCAAACGTATCACATCCACAACCAGTTCCTAATCAACTCTGCTAGTAACGTTCTCAAAAACCTTATCGTATTTGTCAAAAATACTTCCCCTTCAGAAATCCATGTTGATTCTGTCAAATCAGACAATTACTTTCAGAGTATCCAGTCGCCACACCCTTGAAATCAATTTTAATATTTTTCGTATTATGGACTACATCTGCAGCTCCTGTTTTCTCTCTTCCTCACTTTCTTAAACAAGAGGTTACATTTGCAACTTAGCAATCTGTTGGCACCGTTGTACAAATCATAGAATTGAGGAATGAATAGAAGAACACAATCTTATCTTTACTTTCTGGATTGGGCTGACTCAGCTGATCTCAGCCACTGTAGAAGACATGCACAATACCAATGCCTTCAGAATCCCTGGAGCACCTGAAAGCTTGGACTCTTGCCTCCAATCACAAGAATGATTGGGAAGTATGCTTGAAGGGAGCATTCACTCAGTACAGGCTGGAAACCAGCCCAGTTTTGTCTGTGATATCTTCAGTAATTTCAAAAGTTACAAAACCTCAGGTCTAGATTTTCTTGTAGAAAGGAATGGCCATTACAGGAGGGGTAGGAGAACGGACCTATCTTCTTGCACAGGGATGATGGGGGAGAAGGAAGGGGAGCCATTGTTTATGCAGGGTTAGAATTCAAAGTTAGATGAGCATTCAAGTCCCTTGCTGGGGCCTGAATACAAAATGCAAGGTTGGCACTTCAGTGCAGTAGTGCTGGGAGACTGCACCCCTGGAGGTGTCATCTTTTAGATGAGACATAAAACAAAAGCCTTGCCTTGCCTGAATGGGGAGAAAGGATTCCATGCTGCTACTTCATTGAACAGCAGGTTAATTATCCTATCATTTACGGGTCAGCTAATGAAAACAGACACAGAAATTGGTGGTGAAATTCAGCAGGTCTGGCAACATCTATGAGCAGAGAGCAGAGTTAATGTTTTGAGTTCTGATGAAGAGTCACCAGACTCGAAATGTTAGCTCTGCTTTCTCCCCACAGGAGCTGTCAGAACTGCTGAGTTTTGCCAACAATTTTTGTTTTCATTTTAGATCCTCAGCATCCACAGTTCTTTGTTTTATGATAGAACTGAAACAGACGGTTGCCGTCATTTTCGAATTCTTGTTTTTGGGATTTACTGTATGCAAATTGACTTATGTTTCCCACTTACACAGTGACTACTTCAAAAGCAATTTTTGTTAAGGTCAGAAAAGGTGCTACATAAATGTAGACATTTTCTCCTCTCAGAGTGGACCTCTGGTTCTATTTTGGCTACCAAGAAATTGCTTGCTGTAGTAAAGGAAGGAAAAGTGTTACAGATGATTGATGCATCTGCTGCAATATCTGAAAAGGAGTGGCTGAGTTGATGGTGCTAAGTGAATTCTAGGGGCCTCAAATAACGTTTTGTCTAGGCCTCAGATTAAAATAGGTCATTGGATGGCTCAAAGGAGGGAGCAGTGACTACTCGTCCACTCTCCCTTTCTTTCAAAGAGACTTCATTAGCCCTACTCTGTGAGCACTACCAACCAGGAGTTTTCCAGGTTTGATGGCGGGACCAGGGAAGTTGCAGAAAAGGGAGGTTATCTGGTCTCTCTTATCCTGTTGCTACATGGTGTAGTTGAGGCATGGATGTACTTGAGGGTAAGATGAGTAAGTAAGGAGGAAGAAAGGAATCATAAGACCATAAGATGGAGCAGCAGAAGTAGGTCTTTCAGTATATTGAGTCTGCTCCATCATTAAATGAGATCATGGCTGATCTGATAATCCTCAATTCCACTTTCCCACTTTATCCCCATATCCCTTGATTCCCTTACTGATTAAAAATCTGTGTCTCTCAACTTTGAATAGGGTGGCATGGTGGCTCAGTGGTTTGCACTGCTGCCTCACAGCGCCAAGGACCTGGGTTCAATTCCACCCTCGGGCGACTGTCTGTGTGGAGCTTGCACGTCTCCCCGTGTCTGCGTGGGTTTCCTCCGGGTGCTCCGGTTTCCTCCCACAGTCCAAAGATGTGCAGGTTAGGTAGATTGCCCATGCTAAATTGCCTGTAGTGTTCAGGGGTATGTAGATGAGGTGGGTTGTAGGGGGATGGGTCTGGGTGGGATGTTCCAAGGGTCGGTGTGGACTTGTTGGGCCGAAGGGTCTGCTTCCACATTGTAGGGATTCTATGAACTCAGCCTCTACAGCCTTCTGCAGTAAAGAATTCCACAGATTCATTACCCTCTGAAAAACGAAATTTCTCTTCATCTCTGTCTTAAATGTGCAATCCCTTATTCTGAGATAATATCCTCTGGTCCTAGACTCTCCCACAAAGAAAAACAGCCTTTCCATATCCACTCTGTCATGTCTTTCACATTTTCCCAATGCCAGATGTCAAACTAACTGTCCTAAACTTATCTGTTTTTACATCTCCCTCCCTTTTTGAAAAAGGGTATTACATTGGCAGTTTTCCAAACCTTTGGGACTTTTCCTGAATCTAAGGATTCTTGGAAGATTACTACCAGTCAATGACTACCCCTGTAATATCTTAGGATGGAACCCATCAGACGTAGGGAGCTTATTAGCCTTTTGCCCAGTTAGTTTCCTGAGTACTTATTCACTAGTGAGTTATTGTGTTTATTTTGTCCCTCACTTTGCCCCTTAATTAATTCATATTTTTGCAGTGCCATTCATCATCTCACTTGAACTGTTTCCTGTACCACAGTATGGTGGACAGTTCACTCCTCACCATCCATAAGACCATAAGATATGGAGCAGAGTTAGGCCATTTGGTCCATAAAGTCAGTTCTGCTATTTAATCATTTGTCAACCCCATTCTCCTGTCTTCTCCCCATAATCAGTGATCCCCTTACAAATCAAGAGCCTATCTATGTCTTTTAAATACACTCAGTGACTTTCACTCTATAGCCTTCTGCAGCAATGAGTTCCACAGATTCACCACGCTCTGGCTGAAGAAATTTCTCCTCATCTAACTCACTAGACTTCCTGCTTTTCATAGTGGAGGAAAATTAAGGCCCTATTCTGTTAGCTCACATATTCAAAATGGCCACAGGATCCGTTAAGAAGAGAGGCACTTTAACAGCACAGAAGATTTTGGATTTATATGACGCCATTCACAACCTCAGGACATTTCAAGGTGATTTGCAGGCAAAATCGTACATTGATACAAAGCAAGGTGCTCAAGCATGAGTGAGGGAAATGACTGCAATCAGTTTTATCCGCTGACAGTAGGCACTATTCTCTCCAATGTGCTTTCTTGAGACAGTGGGTAATTTATTAACTGCATGCTCCCTTAAAGGTTTTGTGCAGCCATGGTTTCATGCTTGTGGCTATGTAAAGGGAGCCAATTTTTATTAACCACCTGTGTGGTTGCTGGGAACGTTTTCAACTTACATGGACCATTTGGAGAATTTTTCTGTGGTTCCTCAAATAATGTTGTGGAATATTTATGGTACATCACAGAAAACAGTTGGAGTTTGATAGAATAGTTCATCACGTCAAGAGTCACAAAATTGTTACAGCGCAGAAGGCTGCTCAGCCTATCATGTCTGTACAAGTTCTCCAATTTATTTGGTTAGCAAGTACAAGTTCCTAGAACCAAGCAGCCTATTTAGCTGAGTTTCAGGTAATTAGTCTGCCAATTAATCAATGGATATCCTCAGTAATGTGCAACATTGCTCTACAAATACATTAGGAGTTTGTACTGAGGCACCAGTGGTGAAAGTTGGCTGCACAGGGACCCTGGCTTGTCCTGAATCCGTCCAGCAAAGACCACTCAGATCATGATAGTTCAAAATCTGCCATTCAACAGAAGGCCTTTGTCACAAGGAAGCTGTGCAACTCACTTTGCATCCTGTTTCTCCCCATAACACCTGCACATTATTCCTTTGCAAATATTCCCTTTTGAATTCCTTAATTGAACCTGCCTCTGGCCACACTATCAGGCAATGCATTCCAGACCTTAACTGCGTGACAATGTAATCACTGAACTTTGTCAAATAATGTTTCACATTCAGTTACAACAAACTATTTCTCAGTACATATTCAACTCTTCATAATACTATGCATATAAATGTATAATTTATAATACATTAATCACATACTTGAGAAATAATGTATTAACAGTGCTTAAGTATACGATATGGGGTGACCTTTCATTACCTCTCAGCATTTTGTCTAGTGAGGTTCACAGCTTCTGCACTCTTATCCACTGCCACAGCATAACTCTGCAAAGTAAAACAATTCAACCCAGAGTGACTAAGCTGACAGATAGGTTGACACTGACTTGGAATAGCATAATTTAAAAAAAAAATTAAATGGCTACTTTGGCAAGAGTTGCATTATAAAAGTCAGGTGTGTATCATTTTATAGAGAGCAAAAACGGAGAAACAAGAGAATTAGAAATCAAAACAGAAAATGTTGAAAACACTCGACAAGTCAGGCAGCACGTACAGAGAGAGAAACAAGAAGTTCAATGATCTGAAATATTAACCCTGTTTTCTCCTCTCCGTAGATGCTGCCACAACAGCTATTTTTAATATTTTCTGTTTTCAGTTTGGAAATCCAAAAGAATGACATGGGAAGAGCAAGCATAAGAGGAAGAAGGTGAAAAAGACAAGATGAGAAAGGAGTAGAGAAGATGGTGAGAAAAGCACAAAGCAGGGCTATAGATAAGGGAAGGAGGGCAAGAGAGCAAAGTGGACTAAAGAGAAGCAGAGAGAGACAAAATCAAAGGTCATGAGAGAAATAATGGTATAGGAGATAACAAGACCTGCAGATGCTGGAGTCAGAGTCGATACAGTGTGGAGCTGGAGGAACACAGCAGGTCAGGCAGCATCAGAGGAGCAGCAAAGTCGACGTTTCGGGCCTAGACCCTTCATCAGGATATGGCAAGGAGACAGGGCAGCATGATTGATCAGTGGTTAGCACTGCTGCCTCACAGTGCCAGGGACCCAGGTTCGATCCCACCCTTGGGCGACCGTCTGTGTGAAGATTGTATGATCTCCCCGGGTCTGCGTGGGTTTCCTCCAGGTGGTCTGGTTTCCTCCCACAGTCCAAAGCTGTGCAGGTTAGGTGGATTAGCCATGGGAAATGTAGGGTTACAGGGATAGGGTAGGGGTGGGATGCTCTTTGGAGGGTCAGTGTGAACTCAATGGGCTGAATGGTCTGTTTCCACATTGTAGGGATTCTATTCTAAGACTTACTGGCAAATCAGATGGCAAGCAGTGCCACTGGAAGTGATGGCCACTGCTGGAACTGCAGCCAGCCCTGAATGGGAGTGATGATGGAGGCAGAGAAGCAGGTAAGGGAGTTAGGCTATTTGGGGCAAGTCAGGCAGGCAATGGAAAGGGTGGGCGAGGGAGGAAGGAAGACAGTGGGAAATGGGATCAAACAGAGGCAGCCCTTTCCACTCTGGATGCCTAAATAAGAGAAAGACCACTGCAAGCCAGGAGAGGGATTATGCCCAATTGTCACACGACATGGTGTGGACACTTCCTCCACTTCTAGTAAAACACTAGGGAAGCAGAAAAAGGCCCTTCAGTAATCATTAACTGGCCACTTAAGGATCTTAATAGGCTGCAGAGTGGATGGACAGCCCAACACCACCAACGGCACTGGTAAAATTCCAGCCAAGGCAGTTAGGTGATGGGTATGGAGCATTCCCCACTTCGTTACACCTTCTCATTTCACCCACTTTACATCCTCTCCATGTGTCAGCCCCTTCCCCTCAGGGAGGTGGGCTAAAATTTTGACACAGTAAAGAAAGTGGAAACAGAGAAGTAAGTGCAGGAGAAACTGTTTTTCTGACTTGCTGGTGTTAATATTTTTAGTTAGAAATTATTTGAGCTGTTTGATGAAATTTGGTACAAAGTTTTCACAACTAATGAGTTTGATGTTTTGGTTTAGATCTACCATTAAGGTTGACATGTTGCACAACCAAGCCATAAGAAAACAAAAGCTTAAAAGAACATAAAAATTTAATATAGATTTATTATTGTGTTTCAACAATACGATGTAGAGCAATACTAACAATTTTTTCAAACAAAAACAGAAAAAAAAACTGGAATGATTTTAACATTCTGATTGGAAAGTTCCAATTTAATTATACTTTTAACAAGAAAGTGCTTTAATGGAAGAACTTGCCAGCACGCACTTGTTTGAAGAAATGCAGCAAGCTCAGAACAATGGCACCGGATCCACATCCGATTTCCAGGAACAGAGGGCGAGCAGCCCGATGGGAGTTCTGCCAACCAGCATTTTCCACAGAAAATAAAACGTCCTCTTCTTCAGCGAGTTCTGACACCACCAGACTAACTAACTCCTAATTAGAATGAAAAAAAAAACACAACCAACATGAAAGAACTAACACTTACTTTGTACTGATTGCTTCATACACTGATTTTCTGTGCTCAGGTGATTACAGATTTCACAAAGATTAGATTTTTTTCTCTTGCCATCAACACTCAGTGAATGAGTTTATCACAGCCTTGGTTCAATTGTAGACAAAAACGTTGAATTCAAGAGAGGAAGTGAGAGTGACTGCACTTGACATCAAGAACAATTTGATCCAGTGGAGCAACAAGGAGCTTGAGGAAAATTGGTGGCATCATATTTTGGTATACAATGAATTTTCACATAATACTTTGAAATTTTGAACACTTAAAAACATTTGATGTTTAGTATTCTAAGCTGTAGACTGTCACAAGACTCAAGTAAATACCGATTAAATATCGACATTCAAATCCATCCAGGGAACTAATAATTTCTTTTGTTTAAAGATGATGATTAACAAATGCATTCCAGACTGACCTATTTGGAAAAATAAAGCATCAAAACCCAATGTAAATGGATCGTAGCAACCACTCATTGTATCATGATGGTTTCCCTCATTTCAAACTGGGTTTGGTGAATCTCAAGGTGTGAAAGATGCAATACAGGACCTAATCACCCACATTATTTGGAAAAGGATTTTAAATTTATAGAAGTCATTTGATGAGGAAGTAATTTTGTCGTCTGCCAGCAACAAGCTGTTCTGCAAACCCGATTCATCAGGAAGCCATAAAACCATCATCTAAGCAGTCAAGATAATACACTATAATATTCTAAAAGTGAGACAAGGACACCGCCCACACTGTTACAAAATTGCATTCACCTGAGAACCAGCCTCTTGGAAATTTGACCTATAAGAACCTTACAGTTTACTGAGAACCCTCCTTTACAGGACGATCATTGCAACTAAAACATCAACTCTTCGAAGAAACTACAGGCCAGTCACCTTCATCAGATGGACTGCAGCAATTCAAGAAGGAAATCACAGAATTTCTACAGTGTGGAAAGAAGCCATTCGGCCCATCCAGTCCATAACAACTTTCTGGAGAACTTTCCATCTAGACCCACAGCTCCCACTCCATAGCCCTGCATGTGGTTTTTACCATGACTTACCTATTGAACCTGCACACCCCTGGACACTATGGGGCAATTTTTCTAGCAAGGCCAATCCACTGCATATCATTGGACTGTGGTAGGAAACCTGAGCACACAGCTGAAACCCGCACAGGCACAGGGAGTATATGCAAACTCCACACAGACAGTCGCGCAAGGCTGGAATCAAACCTGGGTCCCTCCATTGTGAGGCAAGTGCTAACCACTGAGCCACCTGTCATTCAAGTCGCATCTGCTCCAAAGGCGCATTATAACATGTTTGAAAGGAATGATTAAAAATATTTATAAAAGCATGTTCTTTCTTTAAAGAAATAAGGAAGGTCCAGCGAAACACTTCAAAGGTTTAATCAGATTTTGAAAGAATCCATGAAGCACCCTCATTGATGTGTTACAGACAACTGTCTCAGTCATTACATGAGAGATTGTGGCCAGTAGTGATTAATTTGATTTGATTTATTGTAATCACATGTACCTAATTATGGTGAAAAGCTTTGTTTTGCAAGCAGTACAGCAGATCAGAGCAAACAAAGTCATACAGATCATAGTTGCTTAGACAGAGCGAGGCATACAAGGTTACGGCTGCACCAGGACGTGCACAAAGCAAGATCAACATTATTTGAAGTTACAGAGGTCCATCTAGCAGTCTGCTAACAGCATGGAAGAAGCTGTTCTTGAACCTGTTGGTGCGTGTTCAAGCTTCTGTATCTTCTGTCTATGGAAGAGGTTGGAAGAGAGCATTATCGGGGTGGGAGGGGTCTTTGATGATGTTAGCAGCCTTTCCGCGGCAACAAAAAGTGTAAATGGAGTCCACGGCTGGGACAGTCAATAAACATGGAGCTGGACAAATACAGCAGGTCATACAGCATCAGAGTAGCAGGAAAGTCAATGTTTGGGCCGAAACCCTTTGGCCCGAAATGTTGATTTTCTTGCTCCTCTGATGCTGACCTGCCGTGTTTGTCCAGTTTCACGTTTGTTGACTCTGGCTTCCAGCATCTGCAATCCTTGCTGTCTCCATGGATGGGAGATTGGCTTCTTTGACGGTCTGGACTGTGCAGACAACCTTCTGCAGTTTCTTATGGTCCTGGGCAGAGCAGTTGCTGTACTAGGCCGTTTTGCACCCGGATAGAATGCTTTTTATGGGGCATCTGTAAAAGTTGGTGAGGGGCTTATGGACATGCTGAATTTCCTAAAGTAGAAAAGACGTTGTCGTACCTTCTTCACCATCGCATCTACGTGGGAAATCCAGGACAGATTGTTGGTGATGGAGATAGGGGCATGTCCTCCTTCTTCCTTCCTGAAGTCAATGATCAGTTCTTTTGTTTTGCCGACATTGAAAGAGAGGTTATTATCATTGCACCACGACATCAAGCTTTCTACCTCCTTCCTGTATTCTGACTCATCATTGTTGGATATCCGTCCTACCGCAGCGGTGTCGTCAGCAAACTTGTAGATGAAGTTTATTCAGAATTTGGGTATACAACTGTGGGTGTACAGTGAGTACAGTTGGGGCCTAAGAATATATCCTTGCGGGGAACCAGTGTTGAGGATTACCATGAAGGAGGTACTGTTGTCTATCCTCACTGATTGCAGTTTGTGGATCAGGAAGCTGTGGATCCAGTTGTAGAGGGTGGAGCCAAGACCTAGGTCTCAGAGTTTTGAGATTAGTCTGGAAGGGATTATGGTGTTCAAGGTGGAGCTGTAGTCGATGACTAGGAGCCCGATGTAGTTTTCCTGGTTATCCAGATGGTTCAGAGACGAGTGTAAGGCTAGGGAAATGGTGTCCACGATGGATGTGTTTTGCCGGTAGGCAAAGTGCAGGGGATCGAGGCAGGCTGGGAGGCTAGAGTTGATATGGGCCATGACCAGACTCTTGAAGCACTTCATGATCATGGAGGTCAGAGCCACTGGGTGGTAGTCGTTAAGGCATATTCCATGTCCTTTCTTTGGTACCGGGATGACAGTGGTTTTCTTGAAGCAGGTGGGGACTTCAGATTGTAGCAAGGAGAGGTTGAAGATGTCAGCAAACCGATCTAAGTGCATGACCAGGGTTTTGGCCCATCATTTTCCTCGGGGTTCAGTGGTGACAGAGGGAACAGGTGTGTTCGGGGCTGTTGGGTAGGTGACAATGTACCACTTACCTGAACTGAGCATAGAAAGCATTGAATGCATCAGGGAAGGATGTGTTTTTGTCCTCTACCTTGCTCTGCTTCATTTTGTGTCCCGTTATGTTGTGTAGGCCTTGCCACAGGCAGCGGGTGTCCGTATGGTTGCTCTGGGTCTCTAACTTGGTCTGGTACTGTCTCTCAGCATCTCTAATGGCCTTAAGGAGATCATATCTGGATTTTCTATATAGGTCTGGGTTGTCCAACATGAATGCCACATGTCTGGTCTTCAGTAGGCAGTGGATTCCCCGGTTCATCCAAGGTTCCCGGTTGGGGAACACACGGATTGATTTCTTTGGCATGCAGTTCTCTATGCAAATTAAGTCTGTGATGGTGGTTGCATACTCGTCAAGGGGAGTCTGCTGAATTCTTGAATATGGTCTAGTCTACTGATTCCAAGCAGTCCCTGGCAAGCTCTTCTGCTGCATCAAACCAGGACTGTTCTACTTTCTGTGAAGGATCCTCCTGTTTCAAATTCTGCTTGTAAGCTGGAAAGAGGATCACAGCATTGTGATCTGATTTTCCAAAGTGCAGATGCAGCATGGAGCAGTAGACATCTTGCATGTTTTACTACTGGCTCCAAATGAAATTAACCTGGTTTTGGGCATGGGAGCAGAAGATAAATACAAGTACTCATCAAACAATGTGCCAGCCAATCTAATCTATTTTCTCTGGCAACAATCATAGATTTTATAAACTCTTAACACTTAATACACTGTGTGCTCTAGGATTCTGCCTCCAACTGAAATGAAAAGCGGTTCAAAAACAGTGTCTTTGCATACTGGGTGCTTAGAGATGTAGAATTCTCATGCCAAATTATTGTTCAAGCAGAATGGAGTTTACAGATTAAGCTGACTTGGCAGTAATGGCAGTAAAAGTTCATTCAGTGTGGGTTTTGTGGAATAGTGCTAGTGGGCTTACTTCTCGGCCAGATAGTCAAGTTCAAGTCTCATCTGTTCTGGAGGTGTTTCGTAACATTTCCAAATGGACTGGTTAAAATAATGCAATGCAAAAAAGACAAGAGACTGAATGCTTCTCAATCTGTGGTGTTAAGCTTGCAAGGGGAGGAAAATATCAGGGAACCATGTTGAGACCAGTTCCTGATGTGTTTCTGCTGCTGGAGAAATTTTTTTTTTGGAGTGAGATAGGAAGTGGCTGGGCTCCACAGAAACAGCAGTTCACTTAGCATAAGCAAAGCCCTGATGAGGAGCAGTTTTGCTGATGATGGAGCAGCACCTGTGCACAAGAGGTCACCAGCTCAATACAGGCAGCCTCCCTGCAAGTGGCCAGAAGCTCAAAGCCACAAACAGGTAGCTGAATTAACAAAAGGCCGCAATCAACAAACTCAGATAGATGCAGATGCAGGAGGTTTTCCCTTCTGGCTCATTCACCTACTGGTCTAGATGGCCGTTACTGATGTTTGATGTGCAGCCTAATTGGGAGGGGCAGAATTCACTTCAATTGGTGCACTCATAATTCTTCTGCTTCAGCAGTGTTCACCTTTCTCTGTGAAGGTGCCTAGATTCTCAAGCTGCCAGTTCTCTAATTGGGCCATGAGCAACAGGAGCTTGTCTACTATCCTTAACAGTTCTGGAATATTTATTCCCAATGGAGGAGATAGGGCACCACCATTAAAAATGGTCATTGTGATACATCTGTGACATCACAGCATAACAGGAACTCCATTAAACTATAAGATACAAGAGCAGAATTAGAC